TTATCCGCCCCAGGGATTGAATTGAATGTTAAAGACTGAAACCACTGTACTCAGAGAAGCTATTGACCTCGTTGACTTTTCTCCAGCCGAGTTCAACGGGTATGGTATGCACACTGCTGGCCTAGTACCTATCTACTACCAAAACATACGGCGGGCGACGCTCGCCCTCAACAAATCGAACTTGTACGCCCGTTTAATGAACATCGCGACGGGGAACAACTGATCTCTGATTAGCGTGCCTTTCCTTAGATCTCTTTTAGACCATTGTACTGGGTCGCCAAAAGGGGAAAAACGCGAAAAAAAAAAGAGAAAAGAAGGAAAAAAGGAGAGATTCAAGGAGCACCATGGACCGTGGCCTGGAGCTTGACTAGGCGAGTAAAGCATCACTCAAAACCTCCTCAGAGCCTCCGGACATAAATTTGACTTTGGTTTGAACCAAGAAGATGTCAGAAAGAAAAAGCCACGGGAGGAAGTAGATCATGAGGAATCCGAAATCAAGTGCACAGAAGTGTATTCACATGGGCAAAATTTAAGAAAACCGCGGCCGAGGGACCACGGCTCGGAAATGTGTTTTTGTGACAATCCAGAGGGATGCGAGACAAGATTGGTAGCACAACTCAGAGTGAGAGCAAAAACAAGATTTGCATGGATTCAAGCAGCCTGTAATGACCAAAAACAAATGTAGCACACAATTTGTGAGGAGATGGTTGTGAAGGAGCAGGAAACAAAGTGAGAGCGCTTGTGAACGGGATAAGGTGAGATTGCACACACCATGTAACAGCCCCACGGTGCCTTTCGAGGTCCTGTGGGCATGCTGGATAATTTCCATCATCGATCAAGGCTGGTATAGCTGCTACAGCCGTGTGTTTAGTGACGGGGAGGTACTTACCGGAAGGAAGAGGACAAAGGCCTGAGTAGTGCACAAAAAGCGTGTTTTCTCCTGTTTCGAGTACGGAACAAGGGGCCTGTAGACTCCAGAAATGTGCCTGAATATTTCCAGGTCCATAGAGTAGCTGTGTGGCCATTAACGACGCGACAAATGAGGCGGGACATGTTAAGTGTGACGTTACAGTCACATCATCACGCATAACATTTGGCGGACGAACGACTTCGATATTCAGAACTGTTGATAATTACAATTTTTTAGCTACCATATGAAGCAACTACATTGAATTTGTGTACCTAAATATTTTGGCTATCTAACATGGCGAGCGAAGGGAGCACTGAGTGCCGCCGTTATGTGCCATCAGTGGCTGTGGCACATAACGACGTTATGTGGCCCAGCTGATCCGTCGGTAAACCACTAGAGACTAGACCTACCTCATTTTTAGGTTTCAACGCTCTTAGATGGCCGTGTGACCTAATTTCGAAGGCACCGGGCGGTGTCGGGCGGCCTTAAAAATAGAAGGTAACACTGGACAGCCACTTGTTCCGTTATAATCAACCCACGGCCCGTCCGGGACGGATCCAGGTAAAGGAGGATCTCTTCGTCGTTTCCGCCGATTGCCCGCTCAGGAAAACGACAAGGACACCGTTACTTTCCCCTCAATGTTTCTCTGGACCTATGGCATTCCTCTTACTGACGATTAAGTCCAAGATATACGGCCCCGGTGTGAAGATGAGATGCTATTTCTCGTCTCCGCAAAGCAATGCCAGCCACAATACTGCCTCCGTCTAATATTTGTTTCTGGGAATCACATGTGGAGCCGATCGACGATCACGCTGATTAGGTTGAATTTTGGAACGCGTCGAACGCGAATTTGCGATGCATCGGAAATCGCCAGACGCGCATATTTAATGGGAGCTTTGTACTCCAACCTTCATCTCCCTCAGCCGATTTCCTGCCCACCACCCCGCGAAAAATGCAACCCTGTAACGAAATCTATATTCCACCCGCACCGGAGACGACGGCCGAAGCTCGTTCGTTGGGGAAGCCGTACGACTGCGACGACTGCGACAAGTCCTTCAGAACGAGTGGCCACCTCGCGCGCCACCTGCGTGTGCACGTCGGCGACAGACACCATGTGTGTCCTTTCCCCGGCTGTAAGACGCGCTGCTCGCGCAAAGATAATTTAACACAGCAGTGCGTACCAGGCGTCCTTTTTATTCGTCCCCGACTGTTAATGAACGAGCCCTAGCTATCGCATTCATTTCGACCTCCGCACCCCCGAGGACCTGGCTCGCGAGGCGCCCGGGATCCGCCGTCGCAAGATGCGCGTCGCCCGAGCTGCCCGAACGACGCCAAGCTATGTTGACGGCGTGCAGACGCCGCCTCCCACGTCGCCCGATCCTACGGCACCCACTCGCCGTCGCGCCCGCTCGTCGAGAGGCCATGACCTGCCTCCCGCCACCCCATCCCGCCCCTCATCGCCTGCTAGCTCCAGCGGCAACAGCTCCTTTTCGTCCTCATCGACTTCGGCATCCTCCTCGGAAACGCTGCTGGATCAGGGATACGCACCGCTGCTGTTCGCCCACTCATTGACCATCGATGCGGACAATTCGTTTGGCCCTGCGTGTATGCCGATGTCCTCGCTTCCCTCCGAGTATCTCAACCTGCAGTACGGGCGCTCGGACGCAGCGTATGGCACTCCCTCAGCGGACCTCCCAGGGGGATACCACATGCCCCAATATTCCAAATATCCCGCGCATCTCCCCCACACACCCGACATCGATATTCTTACCTACGCGCCGCCGTTCTCCCGCGTATGCGTACCCTCCAATCCGTCCGGCTTTCCGTCCTCGTTTACTCGGTGGACTTGCAGTTGAGGAACTGAAGCAACAGGAGCAGACGAGGGAACTCCGTAGATTCGTATAATACTACTTAACTTACTTATTGCTACACTGACAATATCTGACGAGCGATAATCTGTGTCATTGACAATGAGATCTAGGGCAGGTGCCCCATACGTTTGTGGCTGATGTCTAGAAATCGAAAGACTCTCCAATAATGGTCTCCGTGGCCGACCAAAGCCGTCCTGGCAACACCTATATACACAGACAGTCATTCAACTCAATGAATCACGCGAGGATGTGCACCCACAGTGTCCAAGATGTTAGGACCAGCGATTTCTTGCTCATGACAATCATCCAGGTAAGCACCGGGATTATCTTTCATGCAGGTCAGATAATAAGCCCATAGCCACGGGTAATGTTACCATTGAGTCGGGGATCGAATGCGGCAACGATCGTTCTTACGACACTGGTGAGAATGGGCCAAAACTCTAGAAAATGAGACCTACGTTGCCGCGCTCTGGGGTATGGTCTTCCAAGCGAACTTCGCAGTATTAGGTTTGCCGTCCGGCGTTATGATTCCTGCACATATTTTCAGCGCCAAAGAATGCAAAACCGCTGGGCTTACCACTTGCAATGAATATATCAAGCGAGTCTGGCTTCAGCTGGATATTGGTCAACGCAACTAGGTATCGTCCATTCAGCGAGTGAAAGGATGCTGCATCGTTTGGGACGTACCGCCGGGGGATGCACTATAGCCCTTAATCGCGCCCCGCGAACGACGATCAAGCTCTCTCATGAATAGAATATTGGCGCTCTTCGCCTCATTGTAGACCTTGAACGGCTCGTACTTTTCTGGGTCAGGATGGGCCATAATTTCGAGGTCGATCCCCTGTGCGTACTCATGGAAGATGCTCGTCACCGCAACCACTCTGGGCGTGTACATTCCGGTCTTCGCAGCGAGGATCTTGGGCGCGATTAGCTTGGTGAACAAGAAGGGCCCGATATGATCGGTCGCCATCTGACTCTCAAGGTTGTCAACAGTCAGCTTGAAATGTCCAATGGCGGCTGCTGCGTTGTGGATGAGCACCTGAATCCGGACTATTATTCTGTGCGATATGAGCGGACGTGAAAGCAGACGAACGTGAATGGGCTCGGGGTACGTGTTGACTTCGGCCGCGGCCTCGCGCACCGCTGCCATGGACGATAGGTCGAGGGCGAGACATCGAATGTTGGCAGAGGGCAGCTCCTGCTTGATAGCGGCATCAGTGAGGGCTAGTCTACCTCTCGTTATTGAATGCTCAGATGTGGTATTGACATCGCACCTACCGCTCTGCGTTGTATCCTGTGATGATAACGAGATTGGCATGGCGTGCAATCCCTCGTGCTGTCTCGAAGCCGATACCATTGAGGGACGTCCCAGTGACGAGTACTGTATCGTAAAGTGCGTTTCGGTGGCAGCCCACAGCGAAGAGGAAAATAATCCTCACCGTTCTTTCCGTGGATCTCGTCTGAGAAGACCTCAGCCACTTCCTCTGCGGTGCTCGAGCATCCGAAACTGGGGTATGACATCGGGGGATACAATCTCGTGTGGAGAGATTGGCGTAGATGGGGGAAGAATCAATTCCGTCTTCAAGGGAGCCGGTTTTGTAGACATTGGTGTCGGCAAACCATTGGTGACCGGCGGGAGATTGTCTTCTCTGTGAGACAGCTGACATTGGCTGACAAGAGTGGTATCGTGAACGCATTCGATGAACGCGCCTCAAACTTGAAGTTGTGTTGGGTCCACGACGGCCTTCCTGAGTTCCTCTTTCCAGCCGAGATGCGAGCTGATGCGAGACTCGGAAATTGAATCATGAACGTCGTGTGTCAGAACTGAATTGAGAATGAGTCTCAACTTTCAAGAATTCTCGAGAACCACAGTGATGAGCCAGTCATGGTAATTGTCGAGCAATGCACAGTACAGCTTAGCATCGCGCAGTACAACGCCTATTCCAGTTAAGAAACTGGACGTCGTGGAGGCAACGTGGAGGTTGGTGACGAGCAGGGGCGTGACGTGACGGATCAACGTATCACCTGACCTGACGCGATTGGACAATGGAGCCAAGCCAGGGCAAACATTAGATGTAAACTAGAAGTTGGGGGAGTACAATACACACGTCCTTGAGCTTCTACTTCTAGTTCTGTGGATACCAGCTCGGTCTGGAGGCCTGATTGAGGCCTCAGGCCGCCGGGCGATGCTTGATCCTACAATCGATGGACCGTCCATCAGCAGCATGGCGCAGTCTGGAAGCGCGCGGGGCCCATACCATCAGGTAATATATATGATACCCCGAGGTCACTCGATCGAAACGAGTTGCTGCTATATCGAAGCGAAGTCCTGCTATTTGAGTTCGAGCGCTCAGATCTCGACCCTCCTTCAAGAGGCGTACCCTTTTTAGGCCTGTCGTGCGCGCTTCATTGATACACTGTCAGAAAAATATGTACTTCTCTTCGGCGTCTCCAGTCAAACCTCGTTTCCTAGATCGTTTACTGAGTCTCACTCTCCGCAGAGTTCATTGACTAAACTGTATCCCCAACTCCCGCAGATTGAACGGGCCACTCGGACTCCACTCTAAATCTACCTCGGTGCCAAGCTTTAGCTGCGTGGTTTGTAGGGAGAACTCCCCACAAATTCACCGACATCTAAGCGCTACTCTTCTTCTAAGGTGACGGAAATTTCTCCGTCTTCAATTCAACGGTCCGTGAGTACGGTCCGCTCACCAACCTAAAGTCAGTATAAAAGCGCTCGAGCTGAGGTGACTGCAACATGATGAAGCTCTCCGTCGCAGCTCTCTCCCTCATCTCCTGCGCTCTGGCTCATGGGGTGGTCACCACACCCGCGCCCCGCGCGGTAAGTACTTTGCGCGACATTTCCGTTTCATTCTTCAATGGTCTTTCTTTGGCCTAGATTGGTGCAGCCAACTTGGCGGCATGCGGCTCGATCGTCAATACGATTCTGAAATCAGACAAATACGGCCCTGTAATACTGTGCTGCTTGAATGCAAGATCGAGTCTCATCTCATCACAGATCGAAAACGCAGCTATTAGTCCGGGACCGACATATAACGCGACCGCATGCCATTTGTTCTTCTGCCGTGGATACCAGCTCGAGGACAACATAAACAACACACGTGTTTATGCCCCAGGCACCTCGGTTCACTTCCTCGTTGACATGGAGGCCCACCACACCGGCTTCGCCGTGCGTGTTCCATACCACCACCTTTGTATAATAACATATTATTATTATTAGAACGTGTCCGTCGTCAACCTCGCGACCCAGACTCCGATTGCGCGCCTATTCACCTGGCCTGTGTACGCCAACGACTCACTTGGGCCGGCGGATTGGCCGAAGAACGAGAGTAAGTCATGTTCCAACCGCCTACGTACACATAGAGGATTAGATTTCGGAATCCTTTGCAGCCGACTTCACTGTCACCGTCCCTGACCTAGGAACCCAATGCGAAACGGCTGGACAGTGTGCTATCCAATGGTGGTGGTGGGGAGTTCAAGTCAAGCAGACTTATGAGAGCTGCGTCGACTTTACCCAGTAATTGGATGACATGTGGATGACGCTATAGCTGGGTCGTTGTGATCCGTCTCTCTTACTGTTAACTCATGCGTCAAACTGCGGTTTCGTTCTCTTGTGCCCATTCTCCCCAGATATCAGGCATTCCGGAGGAGCATATCAGATCTGGCTGGAAGCGACTTCGATACCTCATTGCTTTGAGAACACCGCGACGTGACTTCTGTTCAACTTGTGTGGCGCAAATACATGTACACCAGCTACCCAATCAGTGATTCATTTCCAATGCGTCCAGTCACAGTGACCAGCTAGTAGGCTGGCAGTGGCAGCTGCGAAAATCTATCCAAATGCCACGGAGGGCGAACCGTGGGAATGATTATCCGCCGCAATCGGCATGCCACTCATCGTTACAGCGTGACGTGACCCTCTTTTTCCTTCGCACATCGTCTTAAAACTTGCTGCACCACTTTCCGCTGGGGCGTTCCTCTTGCTCTGACCAAACTTGCGGTGGATACACAGAACATGTGCTCTCGCTCACCCATCCATCATGCCATACGCGTACCTGGAGCCTGAGCCTCGCGCGGCATACGCCACCATCCTCTCAGACGCGACATCGGTGTCAGTGGTCCCTCGCGATATGATACTGCCTCGTGGATGCCACTCCGCTGTCTTCACATCGATTCGCTCGACTTGGAATCCTTCAACCCGGATCTCGCCGTGCATCTCGCCATCATCAAGTATGAAAAGCTGTGACTTGCTCGCGCTCAAAACGACCCGTCTCAGTTACTGGAGTCTTCGACGACCATCTATGACTGCAGTGGTCGTGCTTAACAGTCTATCTCGTTAGGTAGGGTGTCATTCGTTGTTTCAACCTCACAGCAGTTACTTGAGCTGGGCAAAGGGCTTCGACTATCGACTTAATTTCTTCTTTAAGGAACAATCTCCCATATCGTGGCCCAATTGCCGCCGTTCATCTAGCTATCTCATCTTCTCATGCCATTTGCGTTCTTGCTTGTGTTTGAATTTCAGCGAAGATCTTTGGAAGATCTCTGTCAAATTCGGATCTGAAGACTCCTAATCCCTCCCAACTTCCTTCCCCATTCCCCTCCCCGTAAACTCAGTCCTACTGACTCGAATCTGGATGCAAAGCCCGGCCATTGATACGAACCGACTGGAGCAAGTGCGCCTCAACGGCGACGAAACTGAGCTCGGATGCAACCCGGATAGGAGTGGATATATTAAATTGTAAGCCCAAACATCATAACTGACAGCGGCGACGTCAAATCAGATCGCACACCTGCTTGAAAAGAGGTGCGCACTGCCCGCCCCTCCCTCTTCGCCTGCCGCCACCTCCGCGGCGATGTCCGCCTTTTTGTAAACGCGCAAACGCTACAGCCGCGCCGGCGACCTTGTACAGCAGCCTATGCCCGGCCCTGGGCTTCGTTATGGTCCGGACCACTACAGCGAGGACGTTGCCGTCCGGTATGCGACCCTCACCATCGTCAACAACTACGTCCTCTGTAAGTCCCCCTGTGCCTTCGGCAGCATTTTCCTGACGAACACTAGATTCGACGGCGTGTCTGCTTGTCTACGAACTCTTCACGTCGTTAGACGACGAGGTCGCCCGAATTTGGTCCCTCAAGTGGCGGCTTCCCAAGATCCTTTTCATGCTCAACCGCTATGTCATCCGCGCAGTCTTGGTGTACGTGCTGTACGCGTCTCCTGCGGTCGAGGCAATTAGTAACCCCCCTTGATTGTGCGCAGATGTCTTTGGATCCTCGCGGACTACCCAGGGACATCGGTCGAGGTGTGTTCGAAGCCAGGCCGCCGTGCTTCCCCGGTTCTGACTCTGCCGCAGTTTTGCCGCGTCTACTCTTATTGGCAGATGATCCCCCTGCGCCTCGCTATTCTGGCCGCGCAGGCGTTAGTAGTCATACGAGTTTGGGCCATATGTGCGTCGTAAACAGTGTCTTCCTTCCCCCGGTCCTAATGCTACCCCAGATAACAACTCGCGGCGGATGTTCTGGATCCTGTCGATGCTGTATTTCTGTGCGATGACCGTTCCTCTATCGTTATCCGTCCTAACCGTTGGGAATAGTGGAGGTCCTTGCCGTGGCGATGTGCGTGCTGATAGCAACAGCTGACACCCAAGGTGTGTTCGACTGCCCTTCCAGTCTCGTCTTTGTCTGAGCTGACCAACCGGCAGGAGTGGCGCAACCACCACCGTTGAGCTGTGGCCTCGTGTCGCGGTCAGGCTACTTGTTGAAGCGTTATGCGAGTGGAACGTGGTGCGTCTCCTTGTCCTTTAACACCTCTTACTCAATTGACGCCGCTACCAGGATCGCTCCAGTTTGTTTTGAATGTATGTCAACCGCTTCTCGTCCTTTCCATGTCTGTCAAATCTTATGGCTTGCTGCAGTCATCATGGTCCTCATAACGGTGGCCAAACTTCTTCCACGGTGGACATGGACCCGCGCAGGCGGAATACTGGGCTCGGGCGGAAACTCCACGTACGTCGCGTTGCTACCTCTTCTTCTCAAACTTACCATGCGTCCATACAGTCTTGACGTCCTTGCCCGTGACTCCCTCATCTACTTTGGCTTCATATTCAGTACGTTTCCGCCAGTGCGGGCGTAACCACAGTTGACACCATGAACGAAGGCTTTAGCTTGACAAATGCGCTCATCTATGAATTTTCTTTCAACGCATACTACCATGGTATTCTCCTCGGGTGAGTGACCACTCCAGCAGCGGTCATCCTTGTGCGCTAAACAATCTCTCTTGCAGACCCACCTCCGCAATCTCCTGCATAGCTGTCAGTTTGTTCTCGTTGCTCTCCTCTCACCATTGTTTGGGCAATGCACTGATAGCAATGCAGGTCTCGCGCATGATGATTAACATCCGCAACGTGCCGTCCTCACCACTTAACCACCCAACCTCTGCCACGGGTATGTACGCCCGCACGGACCTCAGCCTGGGCAACTTTACCGTCGACGACGACATCCCCGAATCCACGCACAAAGGGTATGAGTTGAAGCAATATCTGAAATCGCCACTCGCCGTCGCCGGGTACAGCACATATAAGTCCATGCCGGCGCAACCCAGCAGCAGGAACGGAACACGCATCAGGGATAGTGACGAGTGGGGGAGTGTGATTGATATTGGGCCCTGGAAGACGGGCTCGCCCATGGAACCGTGAGGAGGCGCGAAGCTGTGTGCGTAATTGGGCGGACTCTCTACCATACCCAAGGGCTAGTCGTATCGTTAAATTCCTGTAATCTGATGTTTATGTTGTAAATAACTTTGTATATGCTCGAATGGACTTCGTCGGCTGCCCTTCTGTTGAGGATAGGGTACTTCAGTGGTTTTCCTCCCGGATCAAAATCATGATATGCTTCAGATATTCAGATTGATTCAAACTGGGGCGAGGTTTCGGCGGCCATTTAATCTTCAGATTGCTCGTTATATTGAGGCTGGTGAATCCTGTGATAAAGAATTTAGGTGCAACTCTTTCAGAAGCAAATATACACAACCACTGGTTGAAGTTTGTCAACCTGGCCTTAAGCCGTGACCGTCTTCTCACAGACAATATTGGTAAGTTTGGTCCACTCGCAAAGTTAAAAAACAAATGGAGCCTGAGTCGACTGCTCATGGATGGAGATGCTTTGCCGGATGACTGGACACTCACAGAGGCCGTTTTAGTGGGATGTGGCCCATGAATGGTGTAGGATAAGCCACACCGTCGGTCAGAGTTGGGGGGCCAGAGTCCCACATACAGTGTGCACTGGTTAAATTTTCGT